AGACCAATACTCCCGAGCCAACGAACAGAACTCCCTTTTCCAAACAAACAAACAAACAAACTTCTTCCTACCAACCTTACAGCACCATCTAGAATCACTTGATCAAAGTAAATGTTATGACCTCGAGGTCCAAAACACTGACTTGTAATTTTAAACGACCTCAACATTTGCAAGATTTGCGGTAGTCTGAAGATGACGGAGGCAGTATGACCTCTGAAACGCTGGTTAACATTGACCAGACTACACAGCGCAACAACCCAGAAGACAGAAATCTTCATACTCTGATGATGGAGGCAGTATGACCTCTGAAACGTCGGTAAACATCTACCAGACTACGCAGCGCAACCCAGAAGACAGAAATCTTCATACTAATCGCCCTGATGATGGAGGCAGTATGACCTCTGAAACGTTGGTAAACATCGACCAGACTACACAGCGCAACAACCCAGAAGACAGAAATCTTCATACTCTGATGACGGAGGCAGTATGACCTCTGAAACGTCGGTAAACATCTACCAGACTACACGGCGCAACAACCCAGAAGGCAGAAATCTTCATACTCTGATGACGGAGGCAGTATGACCTCTGAAACGTTGGTAAACATCGACCAGACTACACAGCGCAACAACCCAGAAGACAGAAATCTTCTCACCTAACATTTCTGACTCCGAACACTGCCACTGATTGAAGGAATGACATTATCTATAAATGTCGAATTTGTTAACAAGAAAGTTTAAAAAAAATATGGTAAATTTCTTAACCACAAAGCTTCATGAATTATTGTGCTCCACATAGTTTGGCTACGAAGTTTTTTCATCAGGACAAGTCACTGCACGCACACAAGGCGACGAAACTGCTCAAGCTGCAAGGTTGTCGCGTTCGTCTGACGCAAAACCAACGACCTGTCGACTAACCTAACCCGAATACCTGGCGTCGGTTCAAAAACTTCGCAACATCCGAGCGACGGACAAACACAATCTTATCGGATGAATCAAGATTCCTTTTAAACGTCGATTCCGTTGCTAACCTTCCAAGCATTCATTTCGACTTAAAAGATCGCGTCAGACAGATGCATATGAAAATGACATACAGAGATTTTGGCCATCCCTGAAGTAGCGAATCCGGGCAACCGGAAGTAGCCGTGACCGCCAATCCGATTAGCGAAAGCGATAACCCCGGTTTGTCTTCTTGACTAAGACCTCGCTCAGAGCAAGATCACATTATCCAGCACGCGATGCAACTCCACGAGACTGAAGATGGCTGTCTTTACATCTGAAACGTCCGTAAACGTCCGTCAGACCACACGGAGCTGCAGCCCAGAAGGCAGCCATCTTCAGAAACATATTTCTTGGTCCTTGCAGTGTGTAGGGTATTTTTTGGGGTCGGGGGTGGGGAGGAATTATGTCAGGACAAAGCATTCCTATCCCTCATTACGCGAGGCCGCCATAACAGAACGAATACTGAAAGCTACCGTTAATCAACAACGGTGTAACGCACATTGAAACAGCTAAATTACAGGCTGGATTCAAGCATCCAAATAATACGTTCTAAACTAACAAACAAGTAGATAAATACTGCTATTTGTAAATCGCAATTCGTCTGTTGTATGTAGACAAACGCATAAGGTTGGCAACACCTGCTTTATAAAGGGCCTGCCGATCTCGTCTGTCTGGCTTCGAGAACACGAAGACGCACTCCAAAGGCGACCTGACCAATTACCGATCGCTCAAAAACATTCCCAAGGCATGTTCGTCTCTCAGGCGAGCAAATTCTGCCCTGAGCACAAATCTTTCGAAGTTGTGGGCAAATTTACAATTAAATTCACGAAGAAATCACGAGCAGACTAATTTCAATGACAAATCCTTGCGCCACTCGGTTCAGATTCTTCAACTCTTACGTAAATCATCCCAGCAACTCAGTGGCAGACTCGCCGATTTTGAAATGGTCATAATTTCTTCATTCATCGGGTAAAATTTAATGAAAAACCACTCCCACACCTGTACTTTGTCGACTGACAAGTCTCGTATTTTACCATCTGTGACAGTGACGAAATTCCACACGACATTTCCCGTGAAATTCTTGCACTCCTTGCCGTCAGATGTAATTTTAAGATAATTTTCACGCGAGAAATTCTCAAAACAATATAATTATTACAACAACAAAAATAAGTTTTCCGTTTATTTCAGGTTCCGTTTTATACAAGATTTACTGCACAGTCCCGGAAAACCCGATCCTATTCACCCACAGACCAGAGACAAAAAAAAAAATCTGTTCCCAGGTTTCCAATCAAAAGACACGGACTCACATTCGGGAGTTCATCGCTTCGAACCTCAGCAAAGCTTTCTTCCCCTGTGAAATACATATTTTCGTGGTTTTACTCGTTCCCTGGACAGTGCATTCATTACGGGAGCATAAGAAAGTCCCTTCCTATTCCATCTTTGTGGTAGCCTACAACCTCAGGGCTCAGTACTAGGGATAGAAAACGTCACCCCGAGCCACTTCCAACATCCTGAGCCAAATAAGTCCACGTCCTTACAATTACCTTATTAATTTTAAATAAACTCCTCCGTAGTCCAGCGTCTCTCAACTGAACTCATCATTTCATGTCCTCAGACTAAAATTCTGTAAGTACTTCTAATCTCTCTCATGTCTGCTACGCGACCCACCAATCCCACCCGCATCAACTTCGACGCACTACGTAAAAATATTCTCTTCAGCGCTTAGCGCGTACTTCGTCTGGGGCACGAAATCAAATTTCATAACCATATAAAACAACAGCTAAAACAGTTTTACATTTCGCAGTAACTCCGACGTGCTCGGAGTGATCCAAAATGGATTCACTTTAAAATATAAAAATATAAAACTCCCTTCAAATTTATTCCTGACTGAGATAAGGACGAATAATTTTACCCGTAAAAACTATTCGTAGTCCATGTTCAGGTGACACTCAGTAGCAGACAGAAAAAGTTTGTCCAAAAAACACAAATTAATAACAGAAGGCGGACATAAAACACAGGTTGACTCAGAAGATCGGTCCTTCTTTTGTACCATCGGGTCGGAGCTGACCCCTGGTGAACAAGTTCCCTCGGACTGGGACCTGTTCATATACGTTCTTGGCAGATGATCCAGAAGTGGTTTGCCATTGCCTTCTTCTGTGTGTGAATGGAGTAATTGTTGGGATGGCACGGAGGAAAACTCCGTGTTGCCTAGCCCACGGCCTTGCCCAACACAAGTTATAAATTTGAGCACCACCGGGAATTGAACCCGGGACCCCAGGCTTACAAGGCCAGCGTTCTAACCGCTAGCCCACCTCATCTTATTATTATTTAGTGTTCTGTCTGACGACATGTCCATATGAACAGGATCCTTCCATCTTTTTCTCGGACTGGGACCTGTTCATATCCAGAAGTGGTTTGCCATTGCCTTCTTCTGTGTGTGAATGGAGTAATTGTTGGGATGCCACGGAGGAAAACTCCGTGTTGCCTAGACCACGGCCTTGCCCAACACAAGTTATAAAATCGAACCCGAGACCCCAGGATTACGAGGCCAGCGTTCTAACCGCTAGACCACCGTGGCGGAAATCGGTACACTATCTCCCCTGAAATTAAAATGCTGAGGAGGACCGATTCTGAAGTCGCCGTCAAAGTCACACGGGGATAAAAGAAATAATATGATGAGCGCGATTAATGAAAATCTGGACGCAGCAGCTTGATCGACTGGACGGACTCACATTTGAAATGCGTGCCTTTACGACACAGTGAGAGCAGGCGGAAGACAAGAAGTTTCTTTTGAGATCCAGAGATAATGAGAATCGTGATCTTCTGGGTCGTGACATACGCAGCCTTCAGAGTGGACGTGGTTTAAACATTTCAGAGAAAATACCGCCTCTTTCTTCAAGGTACACGCGATATGTCCCCAGCTTAAGTTGGAAGACTTCACGACATTAAGAAAAGAATAATCCTCAGTTCATCTGATGAACGTCACTTATCACTCTCGACTATTATCACAGGATTACGTACCAAGAATTAAAATAAAAAAATCCTCTATATTTCACTGTAAAAGATGTGAGGTGTTTAGCGCAGCTTTTGAAACCAGCAAGTCAAAAAGTGAAAAAAAAAAATTACTATTATTTATAACGTTTCACAATGTTTCTCGTACTGATTCCTATACTAAATCGTAATTCTTACATCGCTGATTTTGAATAAAAATTATAAATAGTCACATGAGCATTGGTCACTCTTCACGGTGAGTCACTCGCGTTCAGGCCGATAAGTGAGTAAGGAAAAATGCGCTCAGTTTGCTTCTTGTTGCTGAAAACTGTGCGCTAAACGTGTTTGTGTTGTTCGACCACTGTTTCATATTTAAAAATTGTAGAAGAGTCACCAAGAGAAGTGAACGTGTTGCTAAAAAGTTGTGTTAGAAGATGAGATGGACGTAATTTGTAGAATAGAAGGTGGTGATACCCGTCGTTGCCTCCTTCAACTGTGACGACCATAATGAAAAATTCATATAAAATAAAACAGTCAATGCAACAGGCTACGAGAGTAAGTAAGTAAACTTTTAGAAAGAACGGACAAATTACTGTCGCTGTGGGTGGATGACGTGAATCGAAAAAACACACCCCTGACTGAAATTGCTATCACGGATGAGGCAAAGTCAATTTTTGAGGAACTTAAGTCGTCAATGTTTGGGTGCCGGGAACGCGCGCCGTCGACTTCCCATTGATTCACATTATAAAAAGACTTTCAATTTAAACCGGTTCGTCTAGGAAAGCGTCCCCGGCGTAAATCGAGGTTCACCTACATCTGTAATGACGCCGATTCGCCCGACTCACTGTGACGGTCGTTTCTGCCTCGCTTGAAGCCCGGAATATCGTCGCAGGCATCAGAATTATTGTTTTGCTGAGCAGACAGCCGTAGCGACCAGATTCATGTCAGCCGTAAGACAAGCCCCGGAGCGTCGCAAGAAATTGAAAAAAGAAACGATGATGAGTAACTTACCTCCTTGCTTGGTATGCAAATTGGCGTTCCTTCTTTAATAATTCCAGCCTCAATCATCACTCCCAAAACTATCGGGTCACGAGTGTTGAAGATGCACTGCAAGCAACACGACAACACAAAATATGAGAGAACAAAAATCAAGTTCGGAATCCTTCATCTTTCAATGAAGGAGAAAAAATACTTTTACCTGCATTCCATTAAATATTCACAACAACAAAAATAATTCAAACACAAGTAATTTATTTTAACGAGTAACGTATCTCGTCACGTATCAATCTGTTACGTGAAGACAAATTTTTGAGAATACTAAAAAAAATTTTGAAATTTTGACTTCCACGTAATTTAGGGTTTAACTCTTCTGACATCTATCGTCAACCTCCAATACAAAATTTCATCAAAATCCACAGCGTAATTTCATGAGCACGATATTCATGCAGACGGACAATGTGCTGACATTGTTCAGCGCACTTAAAACATGCGTAACGACGCTGTCAGTCAAATATTTTGCGAATAAACACGGCCTCATCACTAACAAACAATAAGTACCAGGATTTCAGGTTTTAAGAGCGGTGACTCTGAAGACAGAACAACGCTAAACACACGACAAAACAGAAGTTATTCCTCACATGTGGTAAAATCCTAAGTTTGCACGGGAAGACCGCTACATGCTTGAACTCCTCTCGTTTCCTCTGCCTCAGTTCCTCCCGGTACGCCATGAATTTGTCAAACAGGTGATAAATGATGTCTGCCTGAAATATCTTCACGCCCAGAGTATCTGCCAGGTCTTGCGCGTCTCTCTCGACCTTCACGTCGAATGCTAGGATCGTAGCGTACCTGCGAAACAACAAATTGTCTTGATCACCACATAGCGATGCGCTACCAGGCTCGACACAAACGCCGTACCATATCGAGACGTGTTTACGATGAGAGTAGAGATCTGTCAGGGGCACCAAGCGAGTAATTATGATTTTACCGTGGACTTTTAAGCTTGCAATTTGGTAATGCCATGCGTAGTTGGTGCACAACGGCAGACTGCATCTGCTCCGTCTCCCCATGAAACATGACCATTGAATAGGAAAGCACGGATCACATGCAGTCCACAACTCGGTACCGAGTGCACACGACCTCAACGAAGACGACACCTCACATGAAATAACCTAACGTATTTAAAGTCTTGACTACGTACTCAAACCATACCAGGGCACGAGAAATTTTGTCTTTAATTTTCTACGTTATTTAATTACAACCACCCACACCTCGGCGACAAAATTTTCACGGACTCAAAAGACATGAAATCCAGTGAGGACCACGGCGGAGGCAGGAAACTTCTACCGGACTGGGCGGCTCGACAACCCAGAAGACCGCGGTCCAGTAGGAATGCAGTGATCAGAAACGGTGGGGAAGGCTGCACCCTGGCGCAGTCATCAGAAAATATCTCTAAAGACGCAGAGCGTTTCACTTACTGACTATCGTGTTCCAGCATGGTAGAGGCCTTCATCACGTCCTTCTTCACGACCGGGCCAATACGGATATTTGAATACTGGAACAGATAAGAAAAATATATCAGTTACACGAATAAAGAGCAACTGAAAATTAATTACTGGAGATCATGAAACTACTTTCAGAGCTGCAAGATTTTGAGCTGTGGAATTGTTAAAATTGTTAAGTTATTCCCTAGTAACCGTGACAGGACACCATTAATTCTCTTCCGGATTACTAAGAAGACTCTGTTGTACAATTAGCAACTTTTACGCCCTGCGGGGAGATTCTGGAAAGCGAGACATTTAAATATCATTCGATAGAAATATTTATCTTATTTTGTCTTACGTGCCAATGAAACACTCCGCGCTGAATTTTAACATTTCATTCATTAGGAAATTCAAATTGGTCGACTGAATTCACGTCAAACTTGACAAACAAAATATTTTTGGAAACCAAGCGGACTCAATAAATCCCTGTACCAATTTTTGGAACTTGTTTGAACCGAAGTGGTAGGTCCTTTAAAAGACCTTTCCCTCCAAAAACTTTCTCCCAAACGCAAATCTGGAACACCTGTCTCTATCCAAATTGCCACAAGTTCATCCAAAACTGGGTTTGGCACGTCAAGTGACCTTCCAAATGTAAAATTAATCACGTCTTTTCCCCCTCATGTTTGAAATCAAAAAACCCAACCAATACGACAACGTTTATTAACAGTGGTCTGCTGAGTTGTTGGCTTATTAGTCCCAAATATGTGAAACAAATTCTGACAAATTTGTTCATATTTTCCCACAAAAACATTTTAAAAACGAATGTTGAATTCGGATGATTAAGACGTATTTTAAAATGTAATGACTCATAAATGTATTATTCATTATAATTCCAACAGCTATATTCGCAGGCAACGTGTCAGAATATGTCCTCGTTGGTGCAATCATCAGTCTTAGACGTCGGAAAGCTTTCAGACTAAGAGTCCACATTTTAGGATGCAAATAGTTTCAAGGAATTCAACATGCATCTCCCTTCAGCACTTCACAAAAGTCAACCAAATATAGGTCTTAAGTTGGAGAGGCTTGAGGTCTCAAGAAATTGCAGAGTCTTTGGTACTCCGACGCCATGACGGCCCGTATAAGAGAACATATCAGCACGACTCAATATTGTTAATTCTAGTAATGTCATCAGCAGGTATAGGGACGAGACATATCTGGTTTAGACTCGCCGGATGTCACATCGCCTCGACATCCGGCACATCACTGCCAATGCTAACAAGGCACACACCGGCTGGCCTCACGATATCCGTATTACGCGACGCTCAGGGTTTCCAGTGCCTCAATGGGGGAAAGTCAGCGAGACGCAGAATTTCACCAGATTTCATCTCGCAAATGAAATTAATTGAGGTCAGCCCGCAGAATCCTAAGCAGTTACGTGGAGAGGCACAGAAACATTTTTGCGTCTTAATAAGACTTTCACGTGTTCAATACAGAGGCCGAACGTCTTTAATTGTACGTTCAGGAGCGTTCACGACTGGAAGTTTCAAAATGTGCTGTTAGCTTCGTTCCGTATGCCTGTTTACCCACGTGAAAACTCCACAAAGTCTGAACGGGTTTTCATGAAAATTCATATCGGAAGTCTTACAAAAACTTATAGACACATTACAGTTTCAGTAAAAAAAATCGGACGCTTTTTGAAGAACTACACGAGTTTCTGAGAGTGGGTAATGGAAAGTGGTTGTGGACTAATTAAAGGTAATAATATTCCAAAACCCCGCCCAATGAGCTAGGAAAAACAAGATAGAAACTTGATAAGGGCAGCCCGGTCTCTGGGCTGAGATTTGAACCCGCGACTTCCATATACGAAGCCGGATTCCTGTCAACTCGACTGCTATGCTCGGTGTCCTTCCCAGAACCTCCCGATCCAGTTCTGTCACTTGCTAATCCAGTCGCAAATCCGCGGTAAGGACTCTGATTAAACTTCGTGTCAGGCCTACGTAGGTCTAAATACAATGGTTCTTACTGTGCGTTGCAACTCAAGAACCGATATACAGCGTGTCCCATAATTATCTTAATAACCAAATAATGAGATGAGATCGGTATTACCCTTCCTTAAAACATTAGTCTCAATTTCGTATGTTCATCCTGCCTTATTCCATGGTTTGCCCGCCTTCCTGCATTTCTGAACGTGACTACAGCCCAGATCAATGTTTTCAGAACGGCTGATAGTCAAATCAGCTACTGGCTCTTAGTCAGTTAATTCACGATGTAAATTGGGCGGGAGACTTTTCTCCCTTCCGAGCGTTTGAAAGAAAACTCAAAGGCTAATTTAGGTTATCTAAAGATTTTATTCGTGGTGGAGAACTAATCCAGGGGCGAAGCATCGTTTCTTACAAAGCCGTAAAGACGTATGGCGAAGTATCCTACGCCCTCATGTTTCATTTGATAAGAATATTCCGACGATCTTGCCTTTGTCGATCGCCTAAATATTATAACATTATAAAATTACGATGTTTCGAAATCTGGGTTCAACAGCCGACATCAGAGACCGGGTGACCTCCCTATCCAACACTTGGGTTACGCGCGCAGATTAATTTAGCCATGAAAAACCATACATTAAATACATGGCATGAGAAATACGTACAAAATTTTGGCTGGAAACCCTGAAAGTACTAGACCCAATCTGAAAAAACCCAAGCGACGACGATGTTAAAATCTTCCATGGAATTAATTTATAACTACGAGAGTACAAACTTAGCGTGTCGGGAATATACAGCCAATTCCACAGAGATAACCACTGGCCTTTGTCGAAATACACAACCCAGTGTTTTACAGCGCCATATTCTCGATAAAATAATGTTTATCTGTGTAAAAAAAACATAAAGTCATTTGTTTAACGTTGCTGTATCAGCTACAGAGCTTCACAACAGCACAAAACAACTTGTTCATGAAACAATGAAGGAAAAACTTGGCTCTCATTGCCTTGGAAAGCATCAGAGTTAACGCGGTCCGTTTCGCGCGTCACCCTGTACAAAGTAAGCAGTCGCCCCTCTGAAATACGACGCGCAAACACGGACGGAGCTCGAAAGTAAACTTAAGACGAATTCTCGTCCCGTCCGGTGTGTCCACCATCAGACACAACTGCCAATCCAAGGGCCAATGTGAATGATTTCAAATTAGTCCGACGACATTTCAGGAGATGCAAATTACCCAACATTTGAGGCTTACGCCACATCGTGTAGCATGTTCCGTGCTCAGTAACAGACGGCGGAGAAAATCCACACAATCCATCCCTTTAATCCTTAACCAACTCCACAGAGCAGAGAGTTTCTTGAAAAACTGATGGTCGCTCAGCGAGAGAAAATCGAACCAATATGAGAAAGACTTTAAACATTTTGGCTGGAAAACACGAAGATACGAGAGAACTCGCGAGGCTTCGGCGAAAATGTGAGGACAATAAACAAGGAGAGCGCCCGATTAAGGACGCGCTCTTACCAACTTCCGGGTACCGCAAAAGGCTAGTTGAGAGACTACAAGCTTCTCAAGGACAACCCTGCTCTACAGAATTCAACACTCATTTTTCCACGAACTAGTGTAAGGAAAACCAGGACATCTGAGTACAGGGGGTTCGAATCCCGGCACAAGTAGGTGCATTTCTATTCGCTCGTCCGTTATGTTGGTATTATCGACTGTATTATTATTTAGTGTTCTGTCTGACGACAGGTCCATATGAACAGGATCCTTCCATCCTTTTCTCGGACTGGGACCTGTTCATATACGTTCTTGGCAGATGATCCAGAAGTGGTTTGCCATTGCCTTCTTCTGTGTGTGTGAATGGAGTAATTGTTGGGATGCCACGGAGGAAAACTCCGTGTTGCCTAGACCACGGCCTTGCCCAACACAAGTTATAAATTCGGGCACCGCCGGGAATCGAACCCGAGACCCCCAGGATTACAAGGCCAGGGTTCTAACCGCTAGACCACCGTGGCTTAACAGTAAGCAGGCAGGCAGTCGCTGCTCTTGGAACGACTTCGAAAGTCGTCTCGGGCCGAGTGCTGTTTCCTTCACAAAGTTTGAGAGGGGGCTCATTCAACGAACTGAGCTTTGCAATGAGCTGTATCCTGCATCGGAGGGTTAGTTTAAGAAGGAAGTCCTTCATTGATGCAAGTTGGATGAGTCAAACAAGCAGTTGACAGGTTGGGGGCCACATGTAGGGAATGTGACTAACAGGGCTGTCCAACTAGCGCCATTGGCCGGCCACGTTCGTTTCGGGAGATATTCTCCGACACTTCCCCTCTTCAGCCATCAATTACTCGTTTTAATGCCATTCATCCCTTACACCAAAATAATTACTGAAATGCGAGTTTAAACTAACTTTAATATTATTATTCGCCTATGAATTTATATTATGTGACGAATCAAAACTGTCTCCACTAAAAATTAAGTTTATCCACCCCAAAACTACTGAAAAATCTAAAGATTAAAATATAAAAAAACTATAATTTAACTTGCTATGGGAGTCACTTGGTCACTTGGATAAAATCTTAACGGCATTCAAGCGCTGTACCTGTCACCAGATGTTAGTAGAACGAAGACATCAAGGAGGTAAATGGGACTTGGGAAACAGAAAATTGGACAAAAAGAGATGCAGATGGCATGATAATATTAAAATGGATATTACATAACAGAGTTTTTATGGTGCAGGCTTGAACAAACAATTTAAAGACAAGAAGATGGCCGTCTTCAGATTCACCGACGTGAAAAACTGAAATCCTTAAAGACAGGCTCCAGGGAGGCTCTCGTGAACTTTTGAGTTTTCGTAAAAGGTCGAGTGGAATTTCTTGACAGATTACCTGTTCCACGGAGGATACAGCGAAGGTCAAACCACAACACGGCAATCCTCTATACAGGCTGATTCAAAATGTTAGGGCCAAACTGAAGGAGGGGACTCGGAGAGAACGACTTTCGAATAGGAATCCGTGTCCTCCGAAGTCATCCTGAGTCTGTCGAGGCCATCGAAGGTAGGGACGTCTGATAACGTACCTCTGAAATAATCGTACTTTGCTATTCTCCTACTAGCTTAATTTTGAATCACGTCAGATTCTACAGAGGCCCCTGGGTACGATTATTTCAGCCATATCAGACGTCCCTACCTTCGATGGCCTCGACAGACTCAGGATGACTTCGGAGGACACGGATTCCTATTCGAAAGTCGTTCTCTCCGAGTCCCTCTATACGCTCCTTCAGTTTGGCCATAACCTTTTGAATCACCCTGTATAGTTCGACCCTCGAACTGTGGTCACAAAAACTTTAGAGCAGAAATTCCCGATGTAATTTTAAAGAGAATTTCGCTGGAGAAAGCCACACCTACTAGCTGCCATCTGCCAACATCTAAAATAAAGTTTGTCCCACTATACGCCATATAGGCGCTTGGGGTGAGTGGAGGTATAGCTCCTCTCTTCCTTGACCTCGGCACTAGATGGGGGTGAGTGGTCAGCATCACGCCCCGGCCGGCTTTACCCCCGGGAAAGGACCCCGGTACCCATTGTAGAGGAGGCTGGGTGGGCCCCAGAGCCGGTCTGGACGCAGAGGCTAGAGGAAAAATCCTCTGTCCCCGTCGGGGATCGAACCCCGGTCGTCCAGCCCGTAGCTAGTCACTATACTGACTGAGCTATCCCGGCTCATATCTTCCAACATCTGTCGCAATATAAATGTACCATTAAGTCTGATACAACACGATGCCAGTTCGTTTCGACAGACCCTGGAATATTCGCCTGTAAACGTACACCAAGTTCTGCACTAACAAACAAATCTTAGTTAAGAAACGAGCCACGTACGTACAGCGCCTCAGAGAGCGAGGTCGGGGGTGTAAAGGGTGACATTTGAAATCTAGGCAGTTATACTGGGAGGTGCGACGATTTAAAAAAGGCAACTTTACAAAGAATAAGCAGCGTACAGTAACAGCAAAAATTCCAAGAGACTTCTGGCAGAACACGCAGATACAAGCGCACATAATCAAAATCAGTCGCATTAGCGTCACGTATTGACAAAGGAAGAAAAAGGATGTGCGCGTACAAAGAACACGTTGGTGCGAGCTCAATAATGTTCTTAGAAGTTCGTGTTGGAAACGAATAAAATGTGTACTCACCGGGATTTTGGATGTCCTCAGGAACTCGAGCAGAGCCTCCAGCGAGCCGAGAGTCGAAGCCTGCACGTACACGCCTCTCTCCTGCAGTTTGATGTTGCTGAGAGCAGATCGCAAGTCCCGAGAAACTTCTTCGCGCAAGATATCGACCTCGTCGCTTTTCTGAGCTACCTGAAGATTCAGACCTAAACAGACGAGCATTTGTATTTCAAAATGACGACACTGAACTGTAAAAGACGGCTTTCGCCTGGGTTGCAGAAATTTACAAACGCCTTCACCAGGGCATTCATCACCCTGATGATGGAGTCTTCCAAACAATGCAAGAGATGCATTAAGACTGTGCATCACATTTGGCACAAATTTGGGAAATTAACTTTTCAACACTTTTTCCTTGTGTGGGGGGGGGGGGGGGGGGGAGGAGTCAAAATCTTTGACCAATGATTTAACTTGCGTCATAGCACCGTATATTTTTAGTTTCTGGAAACTAAGTGCTGTAAATATGTTCATAAACGATTCCCCAACATTACATACCGAGAATCGGAACAAATGGAAAACACGAAGAAGGTAAGTACTAGGGTCTACGACGTCAACATTTCGCAACATTTTTCATTAATCCCCACATAAATGTAAATATCGAGCTCCAGCGTAATTCTGTCCGCTGTGTCGTTGAACGTCTCGCATAGAAAATATCGTATTTATTATAATCTCACACGGCGGCAAATAAACGAAACTGGCAACCGACCTCCCAACCGAACACGCTGCCACTCGATATTAACAAATTACAACGCGCGTCTGTTACACGCAGCCATGACAGATAATAATCATATCGACCGCAGTCTTCCAGGATGCAACGCTATGTTTTCGAGGAATGTCGGTAACAACTTACGAGACTCAGCGGTGATATAACCCGGAAGACGATAATCATCACCCACCACATCGTAAGAGGACCTCGCACGCTCGTAATCACCGTAATTGTGACAGCTTAGAATTTCAGTTTATCGCTCTGTCCTATATAAGCAACGAGCTCACCTGCAATTGCTTTTTCCAAATCCTTCGCTGCAATTTTTACTCCTTGCGCCGCTTTAATCTCCTTGTAGTCTACATACGCATTCTGAAAAATCACAAAAGAAGAGAAAATGACGAGTACAAAACAAAATATACAAAAGAATAATTATGAAAGTACCAACTTCGCCCAGATTTGTTTTACGACATTTCCAAGCGCTCGTTCTTACGATCTGACGGTGCACCATTTAAGATCACGCTTACCTTTACTCTAAGCTCTTTCATGGGTTGTGGCATCAGCAACGAACGAATCTGCGTCACGATCGGCCCGTCTGTTCCTGCCAGTACCATGACGTCACCTTCGCGAAGCCTTCCGTTCACCAGGATAGCGTCAATTGTCGTTCCCAAACCCGGTATGGCTTTTACTTCCAGAACTGTCGCCTACATTACAAGCGGGAAAAGAAGAATACGCTTTCAAACAGCAAGTACAGGACAACACTTTAACAAATTAAATTACAAAGACGACCCACACAAAGTAGAAAAGCATCTTACGGGGAGGGGGGAGATAACACAACAAACACCAATGAATCACCTGAAACTGCGTAAAAAATTCAAGCACCTACGAACATCAGTAACTAAAAGGAGAAAAATCGTTCTTGACAAGTTTGTTACTGTATGCACTATACACTACTGCCGGACTCTATCCTGAGCCAGACGAACCCAGTCGATATTCAGCAGGTGCCTCTGGGCAACCGCTTTGGTCTTTGTCCCCCGAGCAAGACGAGATTTAAGCGGCCAAAAACTTTCTCTAGACGATACCTGCAGTTCATCAGAGTACATAAGTCTCTTGGCAAGCATGTTCTGGCAGTTGTCAACGATGAGTCCCAGGAGATTGCCGATTCCCTCACCCGTAATGGCGCTTGTTGGCACCAAGGACACGTAGCTTCGGATGTCAGGGTTGTCATAGAAGACAGCAGCGTTTAACCCCTGCAGAAAAATAACAGACTCAGATGTTTAAATGCAATTCGCAAAATTCAAATATCATCCCGCGTCATGAGTCCGCTTACATTTAATTATGACTAAATATTTTCCAAAATGTATGCTCAAAAACTGCGCCAAAGATGAGACGTGTCTCTAACCCAAATTTCACACTTAAAAGCAACGATCTTAAATATTCACCACTATTTAGCGCCACCCTATTAAAAACTTTTTTTTGCAAACTTCATTGACCTTCACGTACAATTATTACAGACACAACTCTATTTCTGCAAAGCCAATCACACCGGATCGTCAAAAAATTATTTCTTCATATTTCATTCGCCACACCAAAAAAATCTTTCTATTTCTTTTCTTCATATTTCAATAAGAGGTGGCAGTTCCGTCATGTGGCACCAATGAAACTGCCAAGAAATCACGAATGAAACTAAATCTTCAACGCAAGTCAACGTCGGACGCATTTCTTACACGAAGTGATTTCCGTGCAAGACGGCAAACAAGTACTGCACAAAGGCTTCGTGATGTGAATAAACAAAAAAATATTGTCACAATGACAAGATAAATTCAGATGGCAGCGACAGCATCAGTCAAACATACAAGTGATTGTAAGTACAGATTTTGTTTTTCACGCTACTGTACATTCATCGACAAAAACGACAGAGGGCGCAAGGTGAAGACACGATAGAAATTACACATTCGTAATCTTACAATCAATATTTAGCAGATAAACAACCTAACGACAACAAAAAACAAGCTTCATACCAACCTGTTCTGCAAACTGCACGATAACCTCCTTGGTTCTGTGCTCAAATTCTAATTGTGTATTAGCGGCCTGCGCCTTTATTACATCTCTTATATCTTTCCTGTTCATTGTCTGCCAGTCGTAAAGCCTGTAAAAGAATTTTACTTAATTATATTCAATAACCAAAGTAACATTCAAAACCAGATGCTTATTTCCAGTTTCAGTATAACAAACTTTCAACACGGCTCCTGTCTTCCTGTACTACTAACGAAGGCGATAACGAACAGAAAAAGACAGTTCATATTCATTAAAATAAGATTTTGTTATAATGAAAGGCAATAAAAGTAATTTAGTAAAGTAATATTGTTTCATAAAGGTCGACGCACTGTCAAATACGTAACACCACATATATCTGCGGTGATAACGGCACAAAATAACCTCCTTATAGTATCGTGCTATTGTAACATAAGCCAGAACGTTCTTTCCAACATGATCACGCATATTTTTATGCATTGTGCAAATACACAAAGGATAAATCAAATTTGGTACGGACAAGATAGCCAGAAGCCAAATTTTCATTTTCAATTTCGTATAATTCCACCCACTGACGACTGGGGCCACTTGTCCACCGCTTTGCTTACTGTGCGATGTGCCAATTTTCGCAATCCGATTCTTCATTACCACTCTCAAGATTTCAATACATACAATTAAAAACTATTTTATTAATCAACGTACCTGTCAATCTTATTTAAGGCCACAATGAAAGGAGTTTTCTTGTTCTTGAGAAGATTTATAGATTCAATGGTCTGCGGTTCCAATCCATGCATAATGTCCACGACGAGAATCGCAATATCACAGAGAGAAGAACCTCTGTTACGTAGGTTGCTGAAAGACTCATGTCCAGGAGTATCGATGATAAGTAAACCGGGTATCCGAAGTTCTACGTCAGCAAACTGCGCACAAATTGTAGATGAAGATATATACACGCGCACAAAAACACAATTTGAGAGCATGAACCTAGCTTGCCGTCCTAGATAATAAAGTAAAGAAAAATAAGGTGACAATGTAAGAAGCCAAAAGTAGCATTTTGGACACACGACGTGCTGTTTTTGTAAATATGACATTTTTAAAAAAAATCGTGATGTAGTGGGACAATACAGTCCCATTTTTCCAAATATAAATACAAGTTACAAGAAATGGATAAAGGTTAATTTATTTAAATTTTTCAAATATGTTCCTACAGAACACAATACTTTTTTTTTTGTAAACTGAACTATTAATTGAAATATCAGAAAATGAAAAAAAATTGTAAATTAAAATTCTCAACATAAGAATTCAATTTTATTGATATTTGACTTCATAAAGACACATAAAAACTTTTCTCTAACGAGATCATTTTAGTATGGACAACTCTGGTACAGCATTCAATATGTCATGTTTGATACGACATACTTACTCCTTTAACAAATTTAGTTTGCTCTTTTATTGCACTGATCGGTACATTCGTTGCTCCTATCTGCTGTGTAATACCTCCAGCCTCACCGTCTTGAACGTTCGTACGTCGTAACTTGTCTAAGATCTTTGTTTTACCTGACAAACACAGATGCACAAAATACATTACTGAAGATGTACAGAATAATAAACAAAAATTTGAAATCTGCCCTGACACATAAATAGTCATCAAATTTTTAGCTAAAAACACTGCAAGGTGTGTTACCTTCTAACACTGACCGAAGACAATGCGTGAAGTGGAACTTGGTCAGTACACATTTTGTACAAAGTAAAAATTCTTCCATTAGAGCGGATGTGGCGTATGTCAATTTACTGATGCACTTAAAATTTTAAGTAGCTAACATGAACAAAATGTGTTGCAGAATTAAATTTCTTAAATGAACCTACACTTAATATGAAAAATTACAATGTCCTAAAAATTAGTCATTTATTAACATGTGTAACAGAGCCGAATTAAAAACATATGGAATAAACGTGTGAATTATGCAGCAAATATGGTAATTGTAAGCTCTTACATACTGCGCATTTAGAAATTAAGAATAACTGACTCATTGATTCTCACCTGTATCTACATGACCCAGAACACAAACCACAGCAGCTCGTAATACATCAACTGACCGGTTCACTTCTGCTTCCTCGCGCCGTTTCTGTAAACATACATGTCACTGTAAGTCCCGCGCCGTAGCCGCGCGGCCTGAGGCATCACGCTTCGGACCGCTGATACGGAATGCGCGCTGGTTCGGGTCTCGGGGGAGAAGAAATTTTCTCATGAGCTTTCGACCGGTGTATGGGACCGGTGCCAACCCAGCATCGTGAGGAAATTGGGGAGCTACAATGAGTAGCGTAATCCGGTCATGAAAGCTAGCAATGGCTGGGGGTTCGTCGTGCTGACCACACGTCACCCTATATCTGGTCGGATGATCGTTCACCTCTGCTTAGGCATGTGAACGTGAGGCCAGCAGTCAAGTTAGTCGGCTTTGGCTCTCTGGAGCTGTTTCGCCACGGATTTAATTTTTACATGTCACTGTAATGCAGTAAATAGTAAAGAACCTGCCTGCTCATCATGAATTCAAGTTCTTGGTTATAACTGAAACCTCAAATAAGAACCAAGGTTATAATACTGTACCAACTGGTGAAGCCTATCACACACCTCGGACATGGTGCGAGATGGAGCACCGGGTAAACTTAAGTTATTGGGGGAAAGTAAAAGTACTCAGCGAAGAACCTGCCACAGTGCTACCTTGAGCATCACATATTTTACACGGACTGCCCCACCAGATGTAGGCCTCTGTGGCGAGAAATCAATGCCTAACTGCCTGAGACATGCCACAGTTCTAGCTTTAAATACAGCATTTCCCACTGCATAAAAAACAGTTCATTTCCTCGAAATAAACATATAAATTGCAAAGAATCTTAGATATCAGGCAGTATCTATAAAAATGGGGCAAATATTTGATCCGCAGTTAACAAGCTGCCTCTTTAGAGTTCTTTATGCTCTATCGTAAAGAAACTCCTTTTGGGCAAGTTCTTACACAGTGGGAAATGTGTCAGTCGGCAAGCAACACCACATGCTCTGAGATCACGTTTACCAGATCTAATGTCTGTAAATCTCAATTAGTAATGCAAACACCTTTAATTACACAGCTAGCATCTAAACCTTGACAGAAGTATCTTGAATATTCATAAGGAAGAGCAAGTTTATGATTTCAACATGCCTGCGCACACACCTGTCCCACTAATAACTTTCAAATCAAGAGACAAATTTTCATTAAACTTGGGGAGGTGAGGGAGAGCAGCTAACCAAATAATTTGCACTTTTACAACTTTCATCCACCAAGAAAAATAGAAATTATCTGCCAAAGAACTGATTCAGTGTAGGTGTTACATTAAAACAGGTTTTAGGTTTTACCTAAAACCAATTCTTACTGAAACGTATTATAAAATCAGCACACCTGTATCCTAGCCACTGCTCTCTCTTTTCGCCTTTCTGCATCTGTTTTGTGTTCATCTTCACTATCACTATCCTCCTCACTGCTGCTCTCATCAGATTCATCCTCTGATTCTGATTCTTCATTGTCATCTTCATCATCGTCTTCTTCATCATCGTCATCTTCTTCTTGTTTCGTTCCTTTTACTTTTGCACCTAATTTTGACTTATCAGAATGATCTGGATAACAGAAAATAAACAAGCTATTTAAATGCAGCCATATACACAACAAGAAATGGTTAGCAGAAACGAGAGGTCAAAAATCGCAAAGCACGTTTTAGACCACAAATTTCTTAAGCTCACTGATAGCCTTCCCAATAAGAGGCTCCATTGTGGGCTTCCACATCTTGTAAACACACACAATTTTGAAAGTATCAATTACAATATCTGAAATTTTACTTTATGAAAATCTTATTCACCAGGTTGGAGGGGGGGGGGGGGGCACTTTAAGGCGACTGTGAAATTAGTTATGCTAAATCTCACCTTCATCCTCGTCTTCTCCCGAAGACTCAGCATCCCACGTATCCTTCACATCATCATCCTGATCCAAACTGTCCTTCACTTCACCTGCTTCCTTCTTTTCCGATGCAACAGAATCCACAATTTCAACCTCTACGTTCTGCTCTTCGTGTTTCTGGTCTGTTAAAATGAACCACGCAAATCAAAGTCAAATAAGTATCAAACTTAAAAACACCTAGATACTTGACTGTCAACTTGTACTTTACAAACCATACATTTTGAAACCTTAGCGATAACTTTAATTTTTCCTGTTCTGCTGTGTCAGGCACAGAAGTATACTTAATCAACTAACTAATCAACCAACTCCTTGGTAGCAGAACCCGCAGGCTCAACACCGACAACGCCAAAGTCCGTCACCAGCCACGATCCTGAGCCAATTCCATCCATTTGCCATCCTCACTGCCTACATCCCTAAGATCCATCTTGATGACTTAATCAACTCTCACCCAAAATACTACAAAACTTTACGGGTTCCTTAGAGGTAACTCTGCAACTTACCCTGTCCTTAGGATTTCAAGACCAGTCCTAAGCTCAGGTTTCAGGGCCTAGCCAAAAGAATGGTGAAGATGGCAACTTCAAAATTTGCTGTAACTTTGGAACATTTCCAAAAGACACTGTGGACGGACCCAAAACCCAAAATACATTATACACAACTCACCTTGCTCAAGACTAGTCTGCTGTTTTGCTTTAGTCCGTACTCTCGTGCCTGGTCTGGGAGCTCTCTTCTCCCCTGCATTAGGCATTTCTAGTCCCTGAGCTTTAAGAGCATCCAACATTGCTTGAGCACGGGCACGGTCAGCTTTCTGCTTCGCTGACAGGAGTTTACCCTCTGCTTTCAGCCTCTCTTTTCTTTCTTTTTCTTTAAGTTTCTTTCTTTCTTTGCGCTCAATCTCCAACAGGCGCTAAAAGTGGGGAATAAATGCAGTCAAATGGTACTTCAAAGACAAACTAAAAATTCCTATTGTTAAACGGCATTCAGTGCCTCTAGTTTATTGAGAGTTTTGCCACAGCCACCCATTCCAGATGGCAAGCCATTTCTCTCCGGTGCTCCTCTGCGTATTCTACTACGCAGAATGTCTCACCAATGTAGATGGCTCTGCATGGAATTTTGCAGACACTAGGAGCTTTCAGATCACATGCAAATGCGAAGCCTTTTACATTGGTGAGATATGCCCCCCTCAAATACCAAGCTCTGACTGACCATTTCCTGTGACCAAATTCCAATATAAACGAGTTACTTCCCAAACTTCCTCACTTTAGCCCCATGATATACAAAGTACGGCAACAAGACAACTTCTATATGGTGTGAGCACCTATATGTTGGATCAAAATCAATAACAGCCATCAAAGACATAAAACGAATTCATGAACACACAGAAATCTTGGTAGTACCTAGTGTTTCTTGCGTGTTGAACGCACATTCCGCAAAGCTTCATGAGAGTGGAAGACGAGACTGAAAATACGTGCACCAAATCTGAATACAAGTATTTTCTAAATGCATTCTTTGCACTTTTGCACATGACACATACATTGAATCTGTTGTCAAACATCTAAACCAGTTCCAGATTCATTCAATGACAGTAATAATGACCGTGCTCTTCTGTTTAGATGGTCACTTCTACCCTGAAGAAGGAAGTGACACATTCTTCCAAAATGTTGATAACCACCTACAAGATTAAACGGTAACAGCCCAGAAGGCCAAAACTGACACCTTCACCGTCACGAAAACAAATCTCAACCAGTGACGTTTCACGCACATCAAAGTTCATATCATCATCCACAAGAGTGAATGTTGTGCAGCCAGCCATTGAAGTACATCAATGGATCAAAACACCACGATATTATTAATCGCAACATAAATTTCTGTGGCGACTAGTACGAAGCAACTAACCAATTTGCTGGCAACAGAATCTTCAAGTTCAATTTCACTGACAAACAAGGCCTGTTCTACTCACTCACATATTTCATAATATACATTATACAGTAGCAATTCAGTACCTGTTCTTCTCGCGCTCTCTCTGCTTCCTCCTCCTTCCTAATTCGTTCTGCTGCTTGAAGGGCTAATTTCTCCTCCTCTTCACGCATCTTCTTCAAGGCTTCCTGCATCGCTGCAATTTTCTTCTTTCCTGGTCCCTTTCCTTTGTCCTTTCCTTTATCCTCTTCTCCCTTCTTTTTCTTCTTCTTTTTTTTCTTATCATCGTCATCATCATCATCAACTGAGAACACAACAAAGCACACGAAGTTGTTCATTATTTGAAACACTAGTCATTGTTTTACATCCCAAATAAATCTGTAATTTTTATGCATTAAAGTGTCAACTACTGAAGGATTCACAATGGTACATATTCAGCTGCGGATATATTTTCTTTATATTAACCCCATGCCGTGTAATCTGGCTGAAGTTCAATGGCATTTCTGAGGTCCTTGCTGCCTCCAACATCAGGGCAACAAATAACAAACAATAGTCCTCGTAACGGAGGCAGCAAGGACCTCCGAAACGGAAAACTTCTACCAGACTACACGCCGCAACAACCCAGAGGACAGCCATGTCTGAATTTCAATTCTGTTTAATGTGAAGGTGTTTTATACTGGTTCTGATCTATGTAAGTATATTTAAGCTGTCTGTGATCTTATTTATCATATTCACACCTGTCACACTTTATACAGGATTTCTACCTGTGATATGTGCCTCCAATTCACTTAAAATATTACAGCACCCTACAACACAAACTTTCTCTCATCATACATAATATTATTCTTTAATACTCCATTGAACTTCTAACATAATTACACAAAAGTTTATGATGACTTTTAATGTGTATTTCAGTCCCCAGAAAACAAACAAACAAACAAACAAACAAACATGTGTGTGCATATGCATTCACATACACATTCAATGTTATATCATAAAACGAAACATTGCAATCGAGTGGTTAACACTTCTGCTTCGTATTCGGGAGGTCTCGGGTTCACATCTCAGTCCAGAGACTGGTTATCCTGACTGGGCTCTTTCGTGTTTTTCCTCAGGCGCTACAGGCAAAGGCCACGACCACTTTTTTCCATATCCTTTCCAATTCAATCTTTGCTATCACCTTCTCACCGAATATTATACAGTTTGACACATTTTCGTGGAACCGCAAGTGTCCGACTTACGACAGATTTTAGCGTGTTTAAAAATGCTGTCAGTTGCTCACAGTATATAGCGCTGAATGATTGAAGGATAACAAAATGGAAAAGCTATAAACGGAAGTAACAATCACATTACCATAGCCAATCTGAATATGTGTTAGGTGCGAAGAAATCAGACAAAATGTAGAATAATGTTTAACTGGGTACAGAGGAGGACATAAATCTGTTAAGAACACAAACATTACCATCATCTCCATCTTCAGGAACCACTGATGTATCCGGTTCTTTATCTTCAATGTCTTGTGATGCAGTCTGTACAGAAACAGGACTTTCAGTCTCTGGTTTTTGGGTTTCATCCTTCACTACCTTCTTCACAGCTTCCTAACAGGATAAAAGCTTATTTGTTAACATCACGTAAAGTTTTTGTTACATTTTCAATTGTTTTACCCATTTGCTTGGTACGATTGTGAAACAAAACCTTTTACTTCAAGGAAAAACACCAACTTCAAATATCTGAAAACAAAGATTTAATAAAAAATATTTTAACCAAATACACACTGAACAGGCGGAGGAAAAATAAAAATATGTATCAAAGGACTTCATGATCTCTGCTCTTATCTTAGTATTACGACAGTGGTTATATCAGAAGCAGACACACAGGTAGGAGAATAAAACAGATATATATAGAAAATAGGGTCTGGTGACATGGACTATTTTAATTTTTGTATACTCCGTGTAGTTCACAATGTAGTTTCTCTTACGCAGGCTTAGCGCAAGAGAACCTGGAGCTCTAGGAAAACGTTCAGCCGTGCACCCCCAACTGACTTCCAAAAATTAATATTACGAATTAGTATGCACAAGGAAAGTGACCCAGAAAATTCAGTGTCATCATTTCGGTAAACCAAATGCACGTACGCCAAAAGAATCACATTTAACATAGCCGTTATAGGATCATTAACACAATATGTGTTGCCCACAAATGTCTTTCTTTAAACTGGGCACATTTCTATACATAAAACATCATAATCAGCTATAATAAGCATCTGTTATCGAGATATTTTTATAACTGAATTAGTTGTAACAAACGTTCACGACACATACAGGATCTCATATAAAATGGCAGACTACCTTTCCACAGGTTACTTTAATCATTCGGTTGTCGTTACAAAACCACTAGAAGCATCTGAGTTATGGTTTATTCCTAACTACGAATTCAAAATCCCATGCCAATATTCACACCGCCTGCTACGGACAAAATTCAGAAGTTATAATTAATTACCTTCTTTTGTGCCATTTTCTTCTGTTTTTCCCTCTCCTTCTTTTCTTTTTTCTTTTGTGCTGCAGTCTTTACTGTTCCTTCAATCTCTTCACCATCTATAATTTCTTTCGGGGTTTCCTGATTCTCTTCTGACGCTGCTTCTCTCTTCTCCATATCCGCCTTTCGTTTCTTTTTTTTGTCTTTCTTACCACTTTCTTCGCTGACGTCCTCATCCTTTGGAGGTTCCTCTTGTACCACATCCTTCTTAACTCCGCCAGAGTATTCAATTTCTAATTCAGCTAGCATCTTTTCAATGTCTTCTTCATCATCATCATCCTGTTGTTTCTTTCTCTGTTTCTTTCCTTTCTTTCCACCTTTATCTTCCTTCTTAATAACACCGTCTTCTAAATCTACAGACTGAGCTACTTTTTTGTTCATTTTTTTATTACTATTTCTGCTGCTTTCTTCTTCTTCTTCTTCTTCAGATTCCCTACTCCTGTCCTCTGTTGCTGAATCAGAACCTTCACCCTCCACTTCAAGAACGGCAAAACCCCCCTTCACCTTACCAGATGAACGTAATTTTTCAGCCTTGAATGACTTTGACATGTTGTTCTCTTCCACATCACTACCACTGTCAAGAGAAAGAGCGGCAAATCCTGTTTTCTTCTTGTTCATCGGCAACGACGTATAGTTCGGTTCTTCGTCACTAGATTCTGCATCAAATTTCTCGGCTGCTTTCTAAAACGCAAGAGCAATATAGATCAATACATAATCAAAATGTGTAGAAATTCATATGCTTGGGAACAAAACAAAAAAGTTGACAGTGGAACCACGGTTCCGGAGAATCTGACGTAAATACGTCTCTGTAATGTAATAATTATTATATAAGATAAGTACTTGTGACATTCTAAAACGTTTTTAACAGCACAAAATTATCCACTCTACGACGCACTTCTTCTACAAGCGATTCACAGCTCAGCTCTTTCCGCAATAACGAAAGCGGATTGTTGACGGCAATAATGTAACACAACAATGCCGAGTAAACAGATGACACAACAATTAGTTTCCTAGGTAACACAACAATGCACGCAGGAGTTCATATAAAAGCTGACCATTGTTGTCTGTTATCGCTACTACATTTACACATCTTCGTTACGCTTTTTTGCCGAATGACCCTTCCATATACACGTATTTACGTCAATAATTTGAGTGAAATGCAACATAGTAAAAGCTGGCTTTAGTTTCTTTGTAAACATAACCTCAAAGAATTCAACTCAATACAAAAAAAGAAGTTTTGAACTGTGTATATGTAATGAAATTAAAGTGCGTAGTTAGAAATGTTTAACAGGCATCGCCAAACTGTCAGTACCCAGTAGCTGTCAATATATATCAATTACTGAAGCTTCAATAATACTACAAATGAACTCTGCTGCGTGCATATCAATTCAATCGATAATTTCAGAAACAACGTGTCAGAAATCTCAAATTTCTCGGGAGACAAAAAATGTTCATCAGCAGTCTGTTACTGCATTCAGAACTTCCGATTACACTACTATTAAGTACTTACTTTCAGAAAGTGCACGGAGGGCAGTCACATTTAACTGAATTTTTAATCTTTCATAAAACTTTTTGTAATTGTGACTTACGTCGTTCAGCACCAAGTAGCTTACTGCTATTTATTACTTAGTTATGCCATTAATGTTCAAGGAAAATTAATTCTGTATGCATTTTTGTATTTTGTATTTGAACAGTATGTAACTACAGGAGGGTAGTCTCACTTGCCAATTACAATGAATGGACATGTCCATCAACAAACCATATAAGTCAATGACGCATTAGGAATAAAATAAGTGGAAAGCCACCTCACAGATCAAGCTGACTCTAACACTCGGAAAGACGAGGCTTTCTACTGCACAGGTCTGTGGTGGTTAAACATTTGTGGCAAAGTGTAACAACACAGAGAAATCTACGTTCTCATTTAAGACAAATGGCACTACTAATAGATGACATCATGTCTGATGAATTTGATATCTCATCAACAAGTAAAGACAATTACAATGAAAATGACCAAACTGAAGGAGAAAGATGAAATAAATTTATGGTTTCTTAACACACAGTTATTTTCTTTTTCATGTTTACATTGTTCGCTTAAAAAGTTCATTTTACAGTGTAGTAGATTTATTTACATTTACCACTAAATAAATAAGTAAACGTTTTCTAAACAAAAAAGAAAAACGCCGAAAAGCGGGGCCCTACTGTAATAGGTGCACACACTGTACACGTGTGCGCATATACCTGCATGCCAATGCCCATGCGCACTCACACACACAAATATGCCGCTCACCTTGCTTTGTTTCTTGTCTTTTCTCCCTTCCTCTATTGTTACATCATCAAGTTCTTTAGCTAAGTATTCTACATCATCTTCTTCATAATCTTTTTTCTTTTTCTTCTCCTTTTTTCCTTTTTTCTTTTTTGTTGATGCTTCATCATCAATTTCTTCTATTACATCTGCTTTGGAAATGTCAGTGTCCTTATTTCTGAAAATTCAAAATGTAACAAGTAATTTCTTAGTTGTTTTTTTTTAAAAAAAAAATCAAAAATTGAAATGTATTATTTCATTGATATGGGAAGAGACATTCATCAAATACAAATGCACTTCAATAACAAAGTGTTTCAACATATTTGCTGTTCGCTAATGGCAGCACAAGGTATCCCAAATGACAACTGCCACGTGCGCCACCAATACAGAAAACAAAAAAGTCCTAACCCAGCTGCTTCAATTTCATACTGGCAACGAACACACCTCATGGCATTTTGTTATATATATATATATATATATATATATATATATATATATATATATATATATGTTTAAAGATAAGAGACGATGGTGGGGAATGAACGCGTGGCCGTTTGAATACGAGGCTATTGAAGATATCCGTCTTCTGGGTTATTGCGCTGTGTAGTCTGGTCGATGTTAACCAACGTTTCAGAGGTCATACTGCCTCCGTCATCAGGGCGATGAATATGCCAATAGGGTGTGAGGAGCTGGATTTATAGGCCGGGAAGTGAAAGGTGTAGCCTGCCCCGAGCCAATGGGAGCAGGTATGGGAGTGGACCAATGGTAGCACGTGGGCGAGAGTGGGAGAGGGAGAGAAAGTAGAGTTTTTTTTCCATTTTGTAAAGCATGGTAGTACCTGCCTTTGAAGCAAATGTCATGAGATCTTTGATGTCTATCTACAATTTATGGACAGATGAATTCAGTGTTATTCAGCTACTTCATTTTCAATTCTATAAACTTATTTAGCGTTCAATGTGACCTGCAGTTATGTTGTAAATAATCTCTTGATCAAGTTGATACACGATACTGGATTAATTGATACAAAAGTGTACAATGAGCAGTTACAAATTAACACAGGTTTATACGGAATAAAATTAAAATCAATCAAATGAAAACAAAGGGTCTGACCATGTGAAAGGAATTACAGATTGCTAAAAATACAGTTGAACAAGACAGAGCACAATAATTCTGTAACAGCAAACTAATTATGTCTCTAACAGAACCCACAGGAATAGAAATTTCCTTTTATTGTAGGTACAATTCTGCTTCATTCAGGCAGTTACTAATGAATTGAAGTTTTCTTGTACAGACACAAAACAGTAAAAACAATTCTATACCTGTTTCTTAACCTCTCCAGCCATCAATTAGATGTTCTAAATTAATTTTTCCAAATTTTTCAACCACTTGTTTCACCATATCAGAAAACTGGTAATTATCAGACCTAATTTCCTTCCTGGAATTCCATAGAATTGGCCAGACAGACAGTCATAGTGGACCTTCATCCAATCACTGACTTCCTTCAGATGCTGACGGATGTCATGCAGCCAGTCCACAAGTTCTGCCATGTAAGTGGTCACAGAGTGCACATTACTGGGGGCAGCCCTGAACAACAGGTAGCATGGCAGGTGTTAACTCGATCCTGACCACCATGCTGGTAGGCATCATGCCTGTAAGTTATGGGCTGATGCTCTGTAGATTAGCAGGAACATGGAAAGCCTCTTGTCCTAGTCCTCCATGGCATCACAGGTGCTCCTCAACCATCTCCACAATTTGTTCCTCCATGCCATCTGAATGTGGGTCTATGTCTTACTTAATCTCAGGCACTGCAGCACGAGTCAAGACTCAAAGCTCTGGCACTGGTTACTGTGTAGCTCTCTTGAGATTCCAAAGCAGCAGAAGAAGTTGGTACTAGTACGGCATTCACCACTACTGATCAGTATTCTTGGTTAGGGATGGCTTATATCTCTGGCCACTTGGCAAAGTAGTCCAGGAAGGTTCTTGCAATGTCTATGGCGATCTCCTTAAATGATGACCTTATGTTATACTGGTGCATTATCCTCTTTAATGCCATCCATGGAATACTGCCAGAACTTCTTTCACCTTGCAGTGATGATACATTCACAGCAAAAATTTATGACCATAAGAATACCAGCAGGCCCAAAATCCCACAAGACAATTGACACACGGAAATATCAATCACAGACCCTTGTATAAATGTATTCATGGTAAAAAGTGTAATAATTTTCACCTAAAATCTATGAGGAAGTAATCCTAAGCAGCATTCATCTGCATTTATGCAAATTCATGTTCAAGCATGATGATGATGATGACAGTTTTTGGCCACAATACACATACATTAAAGCCAACAACAGAGACATGAATATCATAAACAACAACTACCAAGAGTTGTCTTCAAATCTACATTAAATCATTCTGCTTATTTACACTTCACTCAAATTTTTGGGTTAAGGTGAAATCTCATCTTTTCCTTGGCTTTAAACAGAGAAATTGTTTTTTAAGCTGAATGTGTATTTTTTTGCCAACAGCAGAAACTTGCAATATGACCACTGTAAAAATGGTAATGGCACCACCACATTTTAACGTGCACATCTCGTTGCTCTTTATTCGGTACTCACTTCGATTTCCCCTTTTTCTCCTTTCCCTTGCTTTGAAGATTCTCATCAACCCCATTCTGAATATCCACACCAATTTCATCCTCTCTGAAAGACAGCAGTTCAAGCAACATATATTTAAAAGCATGAAATGCAGTTTATCTGGAAATTTTAATTCGTAACGCAAGATTCTTTGCAGCAACTGCATAAATATCACCTACTAAGGGTCAAATATGACAAGGATATAAACACAAGACACAAATATCCAGATTGTACGCTAATCGACTTACATATCGTCCTCCTTGCTGCCCTTTTTCCCTTTTTTTGCTTTCCCCATTATTAATGATTCTATGCTGTTGAAACGTTCGTATAACTATAATAATACTGCGCTACTTCTAGTAAAAAAAGTAAATTCTTTAAAACCACGATCCCTCGACACCATTGCACACTACACATGTCATTGATCATACGTCAAGCAAGATTCAAGACCTGGTTTCGACCACGGACTTTCTAAATGAACACATCTGTTCACGGACCCAACCAAGGTTACGGATAGACATGGTGCCCATACAGTAGTAAACAACGATATTTAAGACATCGCCGCTAGATTGCAGTGTTGGAAGTTATACACATAATGCTACTAATGCAACTATAAACTCTATATCCAAACCTATTCTTTTTGCTGATGATACAAGTATCATTATTGCACACAAAGAATTGTTCTATCTTGAAAATATCATGAATGATGTATTTGCCAACATAAACAAATGGTTTAGAGCTAACAAACTGGCACTAAATTTTGAAGAAGAAAAAAAACTGCATGCTTTGCCATGAGAACAGTCGTACCAATCATGACATTAGATACTTTCACTCTGTATTGTCATATGGATTAATCTTTTGGGGAAATTCAACAGACAGTAATAAAGTTTTTTACATGCAAAAGAAAATAATTAGAATAATGGCTGGGGTCAAAAGCAGGGGATCTTGTAGAAAAATATTTCGTAAATTTAATATACTTCCACTTGCAAGTGAATTTATACTCTGCTTGCTATCATTTGTGGTGGAAAACATGGATAAATTTAAAAGAAATACAGATGTACATAATTTAAATACAAGACGTAAACATGATCTATATGTGCCAAATGCTAACTTTACTAAATATCAGAAAGGAGTGTACTATACAGGTATCAAGTTGTTTAATAATCTTCCACCAACAATTAAAAGTCTAAATTATGATATAAAGGTATTCAAGCCTGCATTGAAAGATTACCTCTTTACTCACTCCTTCTATTCTGTAGATGATTTCATCTTTGCTGAAAACGTTTAAGCTTTATATCCATAATCTACATATATGTAAAGCAAGTTTTGTATTTATATTTAAAATTCTGAGGTTTATGTATATTAATTTGTAAAATTATTTTTCATACTTGTATTGCAGAATCTGAAATTTATGTACATTGATATGTGAAATACGTTCTTGTACTTGTGTTGAAAGTTCTGAAGTGTATGTATATTGTACGAAATGACATGTTCTACATCCTTTGGTTGAGTCCTAAGAAGGATCTATGGAATATAAATAAACTCTACTCTACTCTAAACCAGCCTTCAGCATTTACATTACATTACATTTTTCACACATTCACTTCCAAAAGCATTCACATGAATTAATGTCGGTCTTATCAGTTCTTAGGAGCCAACGAGTTTGACAACCAGAGTTTGATTTCTGGCTGAGTTTGTTTTTTCTCGTCGCTACATCTCCTCTTGGGCGTAAACAAACAATTGGTATTGGGTGTTCTTTTCTCGCGGTAAAGGGGAGAGTGAAGTTGACCGCAAAATCTAGTGTAACATTTGTGAATGAGTGGAGCTATACCTCCATTCCCTCCATACACTTTCATGGTTTGGCAATTAGGCACCAGTGAAAACGTTTGTTTTGCTTTCACATTTACCACTTCTTGTGATTACTAGTACTAATACACAAATTTCAAAATCCATTTAGCAGCTTAATTATTCTCCTCTATCTTGTCATCACAATTTTGCGTGTATTTTTCAATTGCATTGTCAAAGAGACTAATATGGCGGACTTGTAATGCTAGGAGTGATAATTTGTTGCGCAAGTTGATTTAAATGTGACGTTTTGTCAATGCATGTTTGGTCTTCACATGAAGTTATATATGTGTAATATTACATATTACATAATGCTGTTAGAATACTAATCAGGTATAGCAAAATGTCACTTCCGGAGGAAAGGAAATCACGCCAAGAACATACCAGAGAAGTTAAATGGCCCTGTACGGAAGTGTAGGTTAATGGTATCGATAGTCCTATTACGATTCCTAACCTTGAATGTAATATGGTGTCATTTCATGCGACTGTTCTTGTTTTTTTCAAGGAGTGAAATAGCAATTATGTTACTCTTTGTAGCTAAAAGATGTGGAGCGTGTGTCCAAAGCCAATCGGTTTGTCACTCGCTACTCGAATGAACTATAAAATGGACTAATAAGGATGACGGAGGCAGTATGACCTCTGAAACGTTGGCTAACATCAACCAGACTATACAGCACAACAACCCAGAAGACAGGAATCTTAAGGATGAGTTGCCTTGGGCAATTGTCCCATTCCTTGAAGTGGAAATGCGTGAAGGACATATTTATTTGAACAGCGCGGTGTCTTGGAAGGGGGATTTTAGCAGTAATTGTTAAGTCATAAGTATCGAGTAAGAGCTATGTATTCGTTCGTGAGTATTAAGAACAATTGTTTGTATATTTGCAGAGTGTAGGTGTGGAGCATTTCTGTAATAGGGATAACACATGAATGATAGTATGTGTTTGCAGGACAAACAGTAACGTAACTACCACGTGTCTGAAAAGAAGCTGGAGGAGCGGAGAATTTGATTTCACCTTATATCAGTTTAGTTGCGAAGAAGAAAGTTAGAAAGGTGGTTGCTCATGTGAATCTGCCTTTTTATAATGTAGACATTCAGTTCAGAAGAGAAAGCGCAGCAGAACGCACTTGAATATGGAGTTTAATTTTTTGAAGATAGTACTGTCCCTCTTAACAATATCTATAGTTGTGATGGGTTGTTTAATTAATAATGTAGAGAAGCATCTGCCGGTCTTTTTTGTACAAACTTTTAGGTTTGGAAAATTTGCTTACCGAGGTTCACCATCACAGCTGATTGTTGAAGTTCCTAAAAGGTAATAAGTTTAACATTGAATAATTATTAAGTATGTAGACATGTAATTACATTGTGCAGGGGTTTACTTCTGTCGCTGATAGTTTCCCAGCTAGAAACTACCATTACAGAATTATAATGTTCAACACCACTGACACTCCTGAGTCAGTTACGGTATTTACTCCATTTAACAATAGGCTTCTGTATTAACATTAGGTGAGTTGTAAGTTACCAGATATTCTTCTGCTGTAAGGTATAATTAAGTAAAGCTATCCCGCTATATGACGTAGGTGCTTGGGGTGAGGGGAGGTACAGTTTCTACTCATACTTAACATTGGCACTAGATTGGGGTGAGTGGTCAGTGTCACACCATGGCCACTCTTTACCCCCACGAAAGTACCCTGGTACCCATTAGATACGAGGCTGAGTGGGCACCAGAGCCGGTCTGAACGCAGAGGCTAGAGGAAAAAAAGAGCTCCTGTTGGGGATTGAACCCCAGTTATCCAGTCTGTAGTCAGTCACTTTACTGACTGAGCTACCCTGGCTCCTTTACAGTAAGGTAGTCTAACAAAAATGTTGTTTCCATTTGTTGTTATACTTGATTTAAATGGGTGTTTTAATTAAGTTTTTTAAATGTGTTTTGGGTTGGTTTACTTTATGTACTACTGCTTCAAATGATGTCTCTTTATATAGTTTTAAGAATGTACACTTTATTACATAAGTATTTGTAGTTCAAGCTGAATACAAAATAATAAAGACATGTGGCCAAGACATATTTGAAGAACTTATTTTGTGTCCTTTTCTTTTTTCAGTTGGTTTCGGCACTTCTACGTATTTGCTTCTGTATTTACTACTTTATTCTTAGTACTGATGTGTGGGATATATTTCCTTTCCTGGGAACTGCCACACTGGTTGGTAATATTATTAGATTTACTTGCATCAAGTAACCGAAGGGCTCATGGTAAGACTTTTTACCGTCTTAGTCTTTTCTATAAACTGTAAACATGTAGTAATCAAGTAACAGGTATGATTAACTGGTTGCTGAGTAGTGTACTCTCTTAATAGATGCAGTGAGATTAATTAACTAGGTTAACAGCACTATCCATAATTACAAAAATCATGTTTCTTAAATCAATGTGAATTATACTGTACTGATTGTGTATAACTAGGGAAGTGCCTGCCGTGTTACTGTGGGGAAATTTGACAAATGCCTAACAGTTCTGATCAGTATTTATTGTCTGAAAGCTTATCAAAGGCCTGACTATTCGATATGTATGATTTAATCTCATTAGATGAGTGGAGAAGAGTAGTCCAATGCAGTGCACACATATTTTCCAAATGTGTTCTTTGTCAATTAAGTTACTAGCTGGGTAAATGTTTACTTGGTTCTTTTTCTGAACACTGAACTGTGAACTACATAAGAGCTTTTTCTGTTTACTGCTTTATAGTTAGTCCTGTGTCCAGTCTTCTTGCCTTGTCACTTCTAACTGTGCAGGCGTGGCATAGATTTTATGAGACATGGTTTGTGTGTGTTTATTCAGACACCAAAATGAACGTGATTCACTATATTGTGGGTTTTGTTCATTACATTGGATCTGTAATGGCTATTGTGGCAGAATCACCAGGATTCATTGATAACAAAGGCAAGTTTTAACATTATGTCCATAGGAAAATATTTATAGACGATATCAGTATTTAAACTGTGGCTCATTGGTTGTAAGACATCTGAAGTCACGGCTCATTTTGGACATCTTTCCGTAAACTCTTTTTGGAATATGTAATGTACATCTATAACTGTGCGCATTCAGTTGCAAATCATACCATCCAAACTAAACTTATTTTTTCTTTTACAGTTTTGATATTTAGTATGAAACATAGCACACAGATTTTGAAATGCCATCAGAAAACATTGTTGATATAACATCGAGATCAGTATTATTGAAACTGTGATTGGTTTTGGGCCCAGGGGCTTCAAGATTTAGATTTTTCCTAAAATGGATCTATTATTAAAGATTTTTTTCTAAATAAGTTCATTTAACTGAGACGGTGTGCGTTACAGAATGCAGACAAGTACTTGTTCCAGAACTTTTGACATTTGACACAGGGTGATCATAAACATGTGTGAGGAATTTGTCTAAAATGTGAACCATAATAATTAAAAAGTAATATTTATAGAAAAAATATATAATAGAGTATATATGGTATGTTGATATTGAAATGTAAAATTTAGTGTGGATTGCGGATTCAGTCCCATTTGTGTTTTTATCTGATTCATCAGTATTGGTCTGTTTATACCTTGGAAATGGAGTATGGTGAGGGTTCTTTTGTAATCAGATTATGCACAGTTATTGTTAATTTGATATATGTTGCATTTTCAGGCCTTCCTACCATATTTCAATTAAAGGAAATTACACTGGGTAACATCTATGGTACTCTTCTTTTTCTGTGGGCTTTGTACCATCAGAATAGAGCTGCTGTGTTGCTCGCTAATTTGCGGAAGGACAGAAAGGGTTCGATAGTGACACTTGAGCATCGAGTTCCACATGGGGACTGGTTTGAATTGGTTTCATCACCCCACAACTTGGCAGAGATACTGATGTACCTTGCCCTGACATTTATACTCTTGGGTTCAAATACATGGCCTTTTGTGTTCTTGTGGGTACTAAGTAACCAGGTAAGTCACACAGTTGATACTGGTTTGAGGAAGCATGATGGCGATTGAAAAAGTCAAAACATTTGAAATTGGGAATTGATACTGCAGACCTAACTGATTCTGATGTATTATCAACAATATTTATGTCAGTTTACTGAAGTCTCGATAACATCCAGATGCATTAACAGGATCACGAGGGAAATGACAGAGATGTAGTTTTGTCCAGACGTCAGCAGAGAGGAGGATTCTCACTGACCAGGTCATTAGTTAGTTAGTTAGTTATTTCCTGTTACTCCTGGTGGAGCATAGGGCAGCAGTGAAGACCTTCCATCTAGTTCTGTTGACAGCCAAGCATTTCACTTCACTCCAAGTTTTACCAGCTTCCATAGCCTCTTCTTCCACCGTTCTCTTCCATGTCTTCCTCGGACGGCCCCATCTCCGTGTTCCCTGCGGATTCCAGTCCAGTGCTGTCTTTTCAACTGCTCCAGGTTGCTTGCGCAATGTGTGGCCAATCCACCTCCACTTTCTTTCCTTAATTTGCTCGTCAATCGGTGGTTGATTTGTTGTCTCCCACAAGACATCATTTGATATTATATCCGGCCACCTCACATTTATAATTTGCCGCAAACACCGGTTGATAAAGACTTGTAACTGGTTAACAATAGCTTTTGTAACCTTCCATGTTTCACAGCTATAGAGGAGAACTGACTTCACATTGCTATTGAACAGTCTAAGCTTGGTTCACTGACCAGGTCGTAGACGCTCCTTATTCATGTCCTGAAAGAATGTGGGAGAATTCATTGCAAGAGCAAGGCTTCCTTTTGATCCTGACTACCGTTCTGGCCACTTTTTCATTCTCTGTACTGCCCGATTGCCTGTCACAGTGGTTGCACAGTGTGCGGCGTGGGCCTTTATCACTCAGACACTGGGTTTATCGGTTCAAATCTCACTCAAGGTATGGATCTTTGTCCATGTTTTTCTGTGTTATGTTGTCCTGTATAGGTAAGAGTCCTTGCAATGGCTGATTGCTGGTCCATGGAGTCATACCATTGTTTAAATATAAATAGACTAAGAAACCTCCCATGTGTGAGGCAGCCAAGGTCCTTCAAGAACTGTAGAGCCACTAAAAGAAAAGAAGTAGTTCCTGAAATGACTCTTTCCTGTTGGCTCAGACACATATTTATTTCCCCTCTTCATATCATGGCTCTGTTTGACTAGCCTGATCCTTCTAACCCTTTATAAACAATTCACTTAACACTTTCCACCTCAGCCGTGAATATGGAGACAGTATGTTCTCCATAACATTTACATACTATCATAATACTATGTGGTGCAACAACCCAGAAGCCGACCATCTTTCAATCACAAAATGTTTTGCAAAAGTTGTAACTTTGCCTCCGTCATCAGGGCGATCGCCCTGATAATGGAGGCAGTATGACCTCCGAAACGTTGGTTAATATCGACCAGACTACACAGCGCAACAACCCAGAAGACGGAAATCTTCATACTCACCGCTGTGAGAACCTCAAGTCTTACATGATCATAAATTACTTTTATATTTTGTTTTGCCGGATCGTGTTTGGCCATGCCAGTGCCTGAATAGTAGTACATCTGTAGCGTAGCCTTCCTTTGTCATTAAACATAAGCAAATGTGTCTTGACAGAATTCACTCACCCTGCGACTCGCAGAATGTCGGATAACTAAAGGTTGGATGATTGGGACTCTACTGTCATAGTATTATTTACTGAAGAGAGATGTGACAGCCACGTACAACCTGAGAACCATTTGATGTAGACCTGAGAATATGACAGAATTACCTCCTGAACTGGCTTGTCAGTGTTATGAACACCCGTTATTGTCTGAAATATTTCTTTCTGTTTTCCAGGTTGAAACAGCTCTGTTAACCCATTGGTGGTATAAATCCAAATTTAAGGATTACCCAGCAACAAGAAAAGCTGTCATACCCTATGTTTTGTAAAGTACAGTAATTCAATAATATCTGAATTAAGTTTGTTATTGTTTGTCATATATAAATGTTTTATATCAAATAGGCAGGTATTTATTTATTGGCATAAGCATTAAAGATTAATTAATTCAGAGAGATATTTCATGTATTTTTTAAAAAAACAAGTTTTTTACTTATGAAAGTTTCACACGTGCTTTATTATCTGTCAATGAAAGAAAATTATACAAATCATAACATGGCATTTATTTCAAGAAAAAGTCTCGACAAGTGCAACAAAATAAATGGTTTATTTGCGGGTCTTAGAAGTACGCTGAGTTTGTGACATCAGAAATGAGAAAACACTGGAAGTGGGTATGTGAAAGTACGTCGCTCTATAACCTTTTACGAATCCTTTATGAGCAAGAAACATTGCTGCTATAGAAGTTTTCTCTTCTAACTCTACTAGTCTTCATTTGAACAGGAAGCTGAAACAAAGAAAGGTAAAAGATAAGTAGTTTCAACCATTTCACTGTGGATATTCTAGCCAGGATACCAAAATAATACAATTTTAAGACAAACATTTGAAAAAAAGGTTGAATTCTTTTTCTCAAATGTAACATAATCTTACGTAAATCTTCAAATGCTTCAAACTAGGTGGCAGCACCATGTAGACCAACAAAAATTGCATTTTCCTATTTCAGTGAATGAAATCGATAACTATATGATGGTAATGGATGCTTGTTACACTTGAGTTAAATAAAGCATACAGTTAAACATGTTCCACATGTGCTGCAGATTGTAAAGATGATCACTATCTGTGCCTTTCTACGCCTAGAAGCTGTGTGGTGAAGTTTATTTTGGTTCATTTCCAGTTAATATAACACTTTCTGAAGAAAGCTCAGATACATTTGCATCGCTTTTCTTAAATGTAGATACTGCGTAAAAATGGGCACGTTACATAAAATACAGACACCATAAAGAGCTGGAAACTAACTAACTAACTAACTAGATGGCTTACCGAACCCGAAGGTTCATCACCGAATTAACCAAAGCCCTCCACCGGACCCTGTCCTGGGCCAACAAAATCCAGTTTCCTTCAACTCCTATCTCCCATAGATCCCGCCTGAGATTATCCTCTCATCTACGTCTAGGTCTCCCCAGCGGTCTCTTCCCTTCAGGTTTCCCAACCAGTACCCAGTGCACACCTCTTGTCCCATCCATGCGCGCTACATGCCCAGCCCATCTCATTCTTCTCGACTTAATCACCCTCAAAATACTGGGGGAGCAGTACAGATTTTTAAGCTCGTCATTGTGCAGTTTTCTCCACGCCCCATTAAAGAGCTGGAAACATATTTTAATCTTTTAAATATTTTTCTGATGTGAATATTTCATGAAACACAAGGAAAAATACCTCTTCAGTCATATGCAATGTATATGTAATGTGATTAGTTTTGAAACTATAACATTTTATCTGCAGAAAATGAACATTACGGCAAACGATCTCTGAAAAAAGTTCATCTGGAAAATATGTGTACTTCAACTGAAGTCTGAAGTACACTATTCCATTGTTATTTTAAGTAGCAGAAATTTATTAAAAATACTATCAAATGACTCATGAATTTGTAACTCGTGTAATTCTGCCCTTTATATGTTGTGTGCAGTTTGCTGTTATATCTGGTATGGTACCGCATCTATTCTGTTATGTTCAAGATGGCTGCACGGTCATTACACAAATCATGTGATATTAGCAAACAACAGAACAATTTTTGCTGAACTGCACTGAATATCATCTCTTGCCTAGTCTTTTATACCTACAACTATATCTTTTAGATATTTTTTGCTGATAATGAACTCCGTTGTTGTTAATGTTACTTTTCTGGAAGGTCTTCATAATCTTCCAGATAAACTGTATGAGTGCTTTGAAACCTGTTCTATATTTCAGAAGTTGTATTTGTATTTTCCCTGGCCGTGTCATTTTAGGGGTCCTGTATTCTTGCATTCTGTATACATGTTGCACTATAAAAGGCCAATTTTATTATTTCCATATTGTACACAAAATGCATGACCTTAATATTTAAATGATCACAAGTGGAAGAAATTTATTAAATGTGCAACTAACCTGTATGGGTATCCATGAGCCTTGGATCGAAATATGGATAAAATAACACTAAAGAAGGTAGCTACTAGTACCAACCCCACAATGGACAATATCCTTCGTTTCCTCATATCTGCTTTGTGTGATGCTGCTTCTGTCATAAGAATCATCCCAAGAACTATAGCAGCATCTGATTGGTGGTTAAGAAAATCAAATATTATGTACATAACTCCGCAATAAAATCAACAGTATGAAGGTAAGCATCATTTAATAATGTGTACATGCAAGATCCATATCACATACTGTTGACATCTTAAGAAATGCACTGTCCTCTAGCAGAAAGTAATTTCCTTAATGATTATTTTATTTAGTGTTCTGTCTGACGACAGGTCCATATGAACAGGATCCTTCCATCCTTTTCTCGGACTGGGACCTGTTCATATACGTTCTAGGCAGATGATCCAGAAGTGGTTTGCCATTGCCTTCTTCTGTGTGTGAATGGAGTAATTGTTGGGATTCCACGGAGGAAAACTCCGTGTTGCCTAGACCACGGCCTTGCCCAACACAAGTTATAAATTCGGGCACTGCCGGGAATCGAACCCGAGACCCCAGGATTACAAGGCCAGCGTTTTAACCGCTAGACCACCGTGGCAGCCCTTAATGATTATGGAGACATTAAATGCAGCCATGGCATGAGATTGTAACAGACATGTTGAAGTTAATGTAATTTCTGATTCTTTCACCTCCAGGCACTTCAACTCTGAACAGTATTCTCTATTTACCTATTGTGTATAATCCTTCTTATTTTAAATACAGTCTTTGTTTAAACAGTAACATCTTTATGACATGAGGACGAAAAAGATCTATCTTAGGAGACGAATGTATATGAAGCTAACAGAACCCAATTTGTTTCATACTGAACAAACAGCTGGTGTTAAAGGATACTCAGCAACATAACAATGTATGTTTCTACAACAAATTGTCCTTGTGATGATCCATGAATGAATGCAGTAGCACCTGATGATGTCTTATGGAAAAATGGAGGGCCTCTAATGTGGTTCCACATCTGACCAGACACCATGGCAAAGCAAAAGAACTGTGAACAAGAAAGCAAAGCAGAAGTGTACTCATTTGAGTGACAAGATGTGTGCTTTGGCCAATATCAATTTTATAACAGCCATTGTAAATTAAAAAGGGATGAAGGCATGGCGGATAAGATAAAGTCCCAGTGCCCTATAAATTCTTTCCCAGTTGCCTAGGTACACCAAAATACTGTCCTAACAAGAATGAATTAACTACATAGGGCAGCGTTATCCTTGAGAAGGTAATAATATGTTCAGCTTGTCAAAAAATTCCCATATTCTTCTCCAGGCTCAAGTCAATTTAAGAAATATGACATCAACAAAGGGAAAATGACATCTGTTTGTAAAGAAAGTATATTTACCACAGCACCAATACCCCAGCAATTCTTATTGTAGAGGAAATCAAGGTTGTTCCTTCGGAGGTAGAGGAATCCAGCCACCACAATAAATAACACGAATATAGCCATAGCACCAGAATAATTAGGTGGACGGAACACTCGAATCTGCAAAATGAATTGTTTCGAGGTTATATAAGATTCAGGGTTACAGTCAGAGATAATTTTTTTGAGAACTACACTGAATGCCACTTCACAAAGAATGTTGCATAAAAACAAAGTAGTCTACTTGATAGTGAAAACCAGAAATATGAATTTGCCCAGTGGTAACTATGTACCATCTGCTCTAATAATAAATAATTGCATTTTGCTCAGGGAATGTTTTTATTTGCTTTGTACTATTCACAGAGTAAAATGCAATTAAGCCCTTATCAGCAAAACCAAAAACTTGATAATGGAGACGTTCTTTTTTGGCATGAGCGGAACTTTTAAATATTACTTAGACAAGATTTGACTTTAAAAAGTTAAACTGATCTATTAATATTTTCAATATCAACAGGTCATGCAAAAACAGTCTTGGCCATGATGGACATCTCACCTGTTGTATGGTTCATCTTCTGGTATGGACATTATACCAATGAAGGCTACCCCGTATTCACACTTATTAATTTACTACAAGTCTTAATGCCAACATAGTCGATGCACAAATCTCTCAGGTAGGAGCAACACTAGTGTCACATAATATAGCGTCCTCAAATGATGTATGGAAACATCTTCGAAAAACAAGCAACATCAAGGCAAATCTTATGTACAATATACACCAATAAAATGGTAAAGTAAAGAAGAATAATAATAAAAAAAAACTGTCCCACTATACGCCATGTAGGCACTTGGGAGGAGAGGTGGTATAGCTCCTACTCATTCTTGACCTCGGCACTAGATGAGGGTGAGTGGTCAGCATTATGCCCCAGCCGCACTTAACCCCCAGGAAAGAATCTTGGTACCCATTGGATAGGAGGCTGGGTGGGCCCCAGAGACAGTCTGGACACAGAGGCTAGAGGATAAATCCTCTGCCCCGGTCGGGGATCGAACCCCGGTTGTCCAGTCCATAGCCAGTCACTATACTGACACACCCAGTAACATGGTGGCAGCATAAAATCTATATCTAGTTGTTATTATTTTGATAAAAGTTTTTTTTATATTTATTTAGTGTTCTGTCTGACGACAGGTCCATATGAACAGGATCCTTCCATCCTTTTCTCGGACTGGGACCTGTTCATATACGTTCTTGGCAGATGATCCAGAAGTGGTTTGCCATTGCCTTCTTCTGTGTGTGAATGGGATGCCACGGAGAAACCGGGGAAGCCCCCGGAGGAAAACTCCGTGTTGCCTAGACCACGGCCTTGCCCAACACAAGTTATAAATTTAATTGTAATAACAGTATGGGTGATTAATGTACCACTGATATAGGTGTTTGAAATTTGGTATGGGGATAGATCATAAACATACATACAGTTTGTGTATGAAGTTTCAATCTTGCATCCCAAGAAGAAAATAAATAGCCCTAATAGTAATCACAGAAATAATCATAACAATGACAATAATCTAACATATTTAAAATTGCAAGCAATAAAAGAATTACCTACGTTGGGATTCGATTGTATGACCATCTGTATAAGTTCAGCATGCTAGCTCATGCAATTGCATTTCATTAATTTGTAAAGTTTAAACTGAAACTTGTTTGTCTAGCTGTGATAATAAATGTTTCGTCTCTTAAATGCTTTTTCAAAGCTATTTGGAGCAGCTGTGAGCATTTAAATTACAACAGCGCAAAGAAGATCACATGTGGAAGTTCTGTGTACTTTGGGACAGACCACATCTTTCCAGTTTTGTTTTAACAATACTCATTAAATTGACTTGGGAGGGTAAGCTGTTTAGGAAGAAATATGAGTATAAAAGGATTCAGACTGAGTGTTGATATTGTACTACCTGCACATCAGTTCTCTCAGCAATCCACTTGGCAATGGCTTCAGCTGAAAAACCAATTCTCTGCATGTCCAACGTATCACCTTGCTTTGGTTTGCCTTTGGGTGGGAAATGCATGAAAACTGGAGCTGTATTTACTCGAAGCTGGAATACGTGAAACAAAAACTTGTTTTATAAGGAACACTACTCAGTCATTCTCTATTGCCCTTTACACCTGGCTCTTAAAAGAAATATGAGCAAAGTTTTTTTCCCCTCCTGTAAAAATGTTCACCATAAATTATTTAAACATTTAATAACAGGTGTACTTATATCACTTATTGCGATAATTACAAAAATATCTACCTGAAAAATCAGAGTGGATTTAAACAACAAAGTTTTTAGTTTTGTGGAAAACAGTTACTCTTGTATGACAACTCACCATTTGGAAAACGTCTGGTCCTTCATCAAAATCAACCACAGCAAAGAAAATTTTGGTTGGATACAATTTAGCATAATAGAATGAAGTAGCGACAATCTGGAATTCATCATTAGCATGTCTGAAAGAAATGAAATGGTAAAATTATATTGTACAGAAAGCCTTTTACACTGGTTGTGCTGGTGTTAATTGTAATCTGAGTTCCTCATGATGGTGAAGCTGTCAGTTATGCTCTTATGAGTTATGATGCTGTGTGGTCTTGTAGGTGGTTACAAACATTTCAGAGGAACATAATGCCTTCATCTTCAAGATGAAGTAAGTCAGGAAGGGTATGTGAGGCATTATTTGGCAGAGAATGGCCAATGGAACGGTGAGAAAAGGAAGGGGTGGAAGGTAGTGTAGTTATGAAAAGTGAAACATATGTAATAAAGTAAAATGTTGTCACAATACAATATTCAGTTGTAATATATGATGAAAACTGCTTGTGACAAACTGCATGTGTGCATTATTATTAAATACTGAAACACTGCAATAATAATATGATGAACAAGTTTAACAACTTTAAAACATGATAAAAGTATTGTTGATTATAAAATAGAATGTATTTAAATTCTACACTGTTTATATTAAGGCAACATAACACCCAAATACAGTGACAGATTAGGATGGTTTAAGTGGTGTGTATGCTAACCTCAAATTCAACAACAAATAAAAGACAAATAACGAATTCCCTTAAAGGTATGTCAGTAAGAAACTGTTTAACACAACTGCTTTCATATGTAATAGTAACTCACCTGCAAATTGTACACTGGCGTTGTGGAGCCATTGCTGTAAACATAACTACGACAGAATAATTACGTGGGTTTGTTTTGACAAAATCCCGGAACTTGTTGCCGTTGAAGCGTAGGACGC